ATATAGCAGATTCTAAGTGATCAAGGGCTTAGGACGATCCAGTTTAGCCCATTCCAAGGGTTCCTCCAGAAGTGGGCACTCATGCAACGTAATCAATGACGTACATCTGAGTAAACGAGATGGAGGGAAGTTTGCGAGTGAAGGGCATAAAAAAATGGACTGGAACGCAGCCCCAGTGGCCTTCTTCTTCTGCTTTTGGAGTTTTATGGCGGTTGGCAAACAAACGATAGGTGCATTCCCGCCACCTACTGGGCTGGAGTGTGAACCATTGATGGAATAGGAAGAACTAAATAAAAATAAATAAATAAAAATATATAATAATAATAGAAAAAATTTAAATAAAAAATAAAAAATTAAACCCTTCTAAATCCTGTTAAACAGATCTACTTTTGGAGTTGTAATTCTGTTCTAGATACAGTTTAACCATGCCATCTTTTGTTATTACTCTATTTTTGTCATTAATAATTTCTTGCAAATTAAAGTCTACTAATGGTAAAGGGAATAACCAAGGTGAAATGGGTGACACTACTACTGCAGGGCTCATTTCTACATTTTATTATTCCACATGACTGGGCTTCTTCTTCTGCTATCCTTCCAAAACTTCTAAACTTGTCTGACTCATGTTCCCAACATTTTCCCAATACTTTTTTAATTGGATGAGTTTCATCATGTCCCTTTACAGAAATCCAATAAGTCAACATCAACTTTACTCTTCTAATATCAAGTGGCAGCTCTCTCATTTCTACCTTGTGACCTACCTACCTAGGCTGTATTTTGCGCATCGCGAACGCCCAGAACTGTAGTGACGGTAGGGAGCTCACGGAGTGTTGATGTTGATACACCGCCTGAGTGTTGTGAATGGGCGTGGCCGAGTTTGCGTGGTTACGTCGAGCTCTTGCCTTCGACACAAGTGAGACGGTCCGAGCCACATTTACTTCGTTTTTATCGAAACATCAGCAATCGGTAAGAGCATATGGGTTTATCTAAATATCACGAAGTTTCTGAACTTGTGGTTCTCAACACCAAAGTAAACTTTAGTCGCGTGAAATGTAACATAGCCGCTGCTAAGTAGTAGCAAAGAGTATAGAAGCCCAAGAGGCGAAACTCTGTTGTGATAAGGGCAACAGTCTATAGATGGCGCTGCGGAGGCGCTGCCGCCATTTTGGACTGAAAACTGCTGGAAGTCGCTAGAAGATGCGAGAGAGAGCAAGTGGGCGAAACGCAAGCATTCTACTCCTTTCTTATGTTTTACAATCTCTTTTAGATTTTGCTGTTGCTATGGAGCGTTCTATTGAGTTTCGCCTCTTGGGCTTCTATACTCTTTGGTAGTAGCCAAGCATTTCCTGTTCTGTTGCAAAATACATTAGTGCCTCTAAACACGTACAGGTTGATATAGTTCTACATACTATATATTCGCACGTTTTATTATAGCTTGTGTTTTCGGACCTCAGTTAGGTGTTATTGTGAGAGATACACGTTAATTTATCGTCGAGGTTTAATGTTCATTATGGCATAATATATGCATGTTGGTTTTTGTCGTTTAGCCTTTACAGTGAGTTTTTGATTATTAATATTTAGATGCAGAACTTAATAATTGTGTCGATTATATGAAAATAGGTTTATATGAAGATTTTGTATATTGTGTAATGTAAGTTTTGCATTTGTGATATAAACTAACCTGTTGCACAGCATTATGCAGATCTCTTCTACTGTAAAGTGCTTTTTAGATTAGGTTTATTATTTATATTTATTATATATATTTATATTTATTATATTATATTTATTATATTTGGTTAACTAACAGGTCCGTGATTTGAAAGTGAAAAGAGCTGTAGGTGTTTTACAGGAAAGCAATGAGAAGAGCAAACTCACACGAGAGACATAAACTAGAAGTCATCATCATATTCCACTGAACTCTTGAGATGAACTAGTGCTGTCTGTGTTTACCCAGATGTCATATCTAAAATATTCCCAGCATGTGTTGGTCTAGTGACTGATGCCTTTTAACTACTGCTGTTTTCTTTCTTCAGATCTAATTCAGGATGTTTTACACCTGTGGTCCCAATGAGGCGATGGTGGTCTCAGGTATGCTGCATCTGTTGGGCTTTATTACACAGTTATGTCAGTTATGTATATAAATAAACATAGAAGTAAAAATCCTACTTCAAGTTTACAATAATGATAATATATGTACATAAGATCAAAAAAGAACTAAAAGGGGTCATATGATGCGATTTCAAGTTTTCCTTTCTATTTGGAGTGTTACAAGCTGTTCGTGAATAGATAAGATCCCTAAAGTTGCAAAGACTAAAGTCTCAAACCCAAAGAGATATTCTTTATAAAAGTTAAGATAAGATCCCTAAAGTTGCAAAGACTAAAGTCTCAAACCCAAAGAGATATTCTTTATAAAAGTTAAGACTCGTCCACGCCTACCTAAAACGCCTCATTTAAACACGCCCCCACATGTCTACGTCACTGTGTGGAAAGATTTGCATAACGCTGCCCAAATGTTCACGCAAAGAAAGAAGGCGTAACTTTTTATTGTTGCTGCCGCCGCCACCCTGTTGTAAAGACGCTGTGTTTCATTGCGAAAGCGAAAATACTTTGTTTGGCCTTTGTGTTTTTTTAACCTTAAACCATAAACACATTTCATTTCACCAAATACACACAATAATGTTCTTTTTAGCAATATCATATGACCCCATTAAAATTAAAGCAGCTGTTGATAGAACCGGATAGCTTGATGATTGAACCAAATAGTAACTAATGATTGAAACCCATCAGACTTTTACAAGAAACTGTGGAGTTCTGTAATGATCATAAGAGATCAATTATATTGTGCAAACTACATTCTTTCTTAAACAATGTCCAAATGCAGAACTGGTTTCAGCTGTTCATGTGACTTTCATTCACAGGTCAAAACAGACACAAAGTTCACTGCAATGGTTGTGATTTTTTTTGTGTAGATAAATGTCAGTGGTTACACATTAAGATTACTTTAATGCTCAGGGGAAAAACTGCAGCAGGCTCACATTTACTACAACAAGGTTAATGCAGTCAAACCTCACAGTGCAGAGGGGCAAAAAAAATAAGTTACCAGCTCTATTATGTCTCTGTCGCCCTCGTTCACTCTGTAAACATTTGACATGCCGCTGGAGACATGCAGTGGCAGGAAGTGTGCTAATGAGTATCTTTGATAATGTTGGAAATCCTGCTTGGGATTGACATTTTCTTGATTGCAGTTTTGTTAATAGGAATAGTCATAATTTTTATTTTTAAATGTTGTAAAAGTAAAAAGTCTCTTACTACATTGATCAAAAATACAATAAGTCATATTGCGAAATATTTTTACAATTGAAAATAACTGTTTTCTACTTTTATATGTTGTAAAAAGTTATTTATTCCTGTGATGGCAAAGCTGAATTTTCAGATGTCATCACGTCAGTCTTCAGTCACATGATCCTTCAGAAATCATTCTAATATGCTGATGTGCTACCATTTTTGTGTAAACTGTGATACCGAGTTTTTTCAGGATTATTCGATGAATAGGAAGTTAAAAAGAACAGCATATATTTGACATTTGCTGACTAAATGTATTAATTACTTTTTTTTCCCTTTTTTTTTTTTTTAATCTTACCAACTCCAAACTTTTTTATATTTATTTTTTATAATAGATATAATAAAATAAATAAATATAAAAATATAGTTTCATTGCCAGTAATATTTCCATTGGTAGATATTGGTTATTTATTTGTCGTTTCCCCCCTATTTTTACCTTCAGATGATGCTCGCTTAATTTTTAATAATTCAATTCAATTCAAGTTTATTTGTATAGCGCTTTTCACGGTACAAATCGAGAGGGGGATAGCTCGTCGCCCGGGGCCTGGCTCGTGTCTTTCGCTGCGAGTGCACCCAGGGTCCGTGGTGTCCCGGCGCCGGAGTGAAGGACATCTGGGAAGATCGCGTCCTGGGTGCACCGGGCCTGTGCAGAGAAACACACGGAGTAGAGGTGGTGGGAGAATTAGCAGCGCGTTGTATACTTACCTCGGACTTGTGAGCGTCAGCCTGGGATGATTCCAGCGCGGCTCTCCACTCTCTCAGCTGGGTTTGCCTCTCCACCAGGTCGCGGATCTGCTTCTCCACGGCCTCCAGCTCGAGCTGCACCGAATGCAGCTTGAACGTGTCCTCTCCTGCACTCAAAGGTAGACACACATCCGGCATTAAAGCAAGTAACAGTGAGTAAAACAATGGTAATGTGTGTGAATAGAGTATTAGCAATGTAAGTGAGATTAGCGGCAACCACGCTGGCGATGCTAACGGGCTATATGCTAATAGCGGACTCGGGAAATCAAAATAAAACTAGTGATAACAAGGCGCTCTGATTGTTTTTGTTGTAGAATACGATAGGGGATATATTCACACGTTATAGAAACGAAAATGATGGTGTATAAAATTGATTTTAAGATAAAAAATAGACGATAAAGAATTAACTTGACGGAGCTCAAACTCAAAACACACGGCAGCAACAAACGGGGCAACAAACACAACTTTTATTTTATAAAGTGTTATAAAATAACACTTTATTCAATTATAATAATATAATTTTCATATTAATTTATTTAGTCAAAATAGTATTAAACTGTATTATTGACCATTTATCATTTACCAGCCATAACATAAAAATAATCATCAATTTATCTGTATCTGTCAGAATTTTAATATAAGAGCATTCATATAATTGTTATATATACACCGTTACCATGATATTAAATTACTGTTTCTATAATGTAAGATTTTTCATTTTGGATATACCTCCCTCCAAACCCCTAGCTAGTGAATTGCCACTAAGTATGTTTTCAATCAAGTATTGACACTTTTTACCAGCAAACCAAATCTCTCTTTCAGGATGTGGCCGCTCTCCTCCTCTAATGATTGCTGGTGGAAGAGTGTTTGTTTTTCCCTGCATTCAGCAAATCCAGCGGTATGTATAGAATTACAATAGAAGACGGATTATTAGAACGTGTTAGTGCAAGAACACTTGCATAGGAACCTTTTTTTTTTTTAAACCAGGTGCTGCAGTGCATGTCAATAATGTAATTCCAGAAAAGAGTGGGAGTCCCGGGCCTCATGAGCGATGAGGTGGCCCTGTGTGCAATAAAGACTCCACTTGTGTTTACATTCCTCTCCACGTATACATGACGAGGATTAATGAATCACTCAGTCTTTAAAGAATACTTTCTTCTCATTTTGTAGATCACTGCAGTAGTTTGAAGATTACTGCGGATGAATTTGCCTTAGCTTCACATAGTCTTGATAATTTGATTACTGTACATCAGCAGTCACATCTGTGAGGTCAAGCTCAGCCATCATTGTGCAGAACTATATGAGGGTGTTGCTTGATTTTGGGGGCGGGGCTATCTATTTGCCCAAATAATGGGAGACAATAGATACAATGGGTATAGCAAAGAATCACCTCCCTTTAAAATAATAACGTTTTGTTGCTTTGCAGCCTGGAATGAAGACGGACATAGTTTTTGTTTTATCCAGCTGTATTTACTCAGTGCAACTTATAATGTCCAAGTGAAATATATAACACCAATATGTCAGAAAAAAAATAAAAATACAGCTGGATAAAATAAAAGCTGTGTCCGTCTTCATTTCAGGCTGCAAAGCAACAAAATGTGATTATTTTAAAGGGGGCTGATTCTTTTCTATACCCACTGTATGTTTGGTTATGGGAGCTTGTATTAAGGGTAATTGTGATTTTATTTATTTTTTTAATTTTTTATTTTTCTCGCAATGCTGAGTTTATATCTCATAATTCAGACTTTTTTGTTTTGTTGTAATTCTGAGAGAAAAGTCAGAATTGCGAGATATAAACAAAACAGATGTTAACTCAATTCTGAGAAGAAAAGACAGAATTATGAGATATATTCTCGCAACTGTGAGAAAAAAGTTAGAATTGTGAGAAAAAGTTGCAAATAACTTTTTTATTTTTTATTTTGTGGCAGGAAAAAAAAACAGAATTGCGACATGTAAACAGAGAATTCACAGTAAAAAGTTAGAATTGCCAGGAAAAAAATGACAACTAAATTGTGAGATAAAAAGTCAAGATCTTTATTTTTTATCTTTTTAATTTTGTTTATTCCTTGGTGGAAATAGGCTTCCATATTCGGGAAACCTGTTTGGGAAATCCAATTTTTTGCAATTTCATTTGGATGGCGTGTAAATCTGCCTTTGTTTTTGTTTTTTTGTTGAAAAAATGCTTTGACTACTTTTTCACTCGTTTTTCTTGGCTCCCAGGATCTCTCTCAATACTCTGACTCTGAATGTGAAGAGTGATAAGGTCTACACCAGACATGGAGTACCAATCTCAGTAACGGGCATTGCTCAGGTTAGAGAGACACATTTTACATTCATCTGTTGCACACATCTGTTGTACAGTCTGTAAGCGCTGCTGTTCATGTGTCCTGCAGGTGAAGATTCAGGGTCAGAATAAAGAAATGCTGGCCGCAGCCTGTCAGATGTTCATGGGGATGTCGGAGGTTGAGATTGCTCAGATTGCCCTGGAGACCCTTGAGGGACATCAGAGAGCCATTATCGCCCACCTGACTGTGGAGGTACTGCCATGTGCTAAAAGAGCTGTGTGTATTCTGTATCACACACAAAGAGACTGCTGTTGTACTGCTGCTGTTAGCTGTTTATTTGTTAATTATTTGTTATTTATTGTACAATCTCTCTTTCTTTCTCTCTGTAGGAGATCTATCAGGACCGTAAAAAGTTCTCAGAGCAGGTCTTTAAGGTGGCTTCCTCTGACCTGCTCAACATGGGGATCGGTGTTGTCAGCTACACGCTCAAAGATGTGCATGATGATCAGGTGACTATAATCATGCAGCACACACCCTAACACAGTACCATTCAAATGCTTGTGGTCCGTAACTTATAAATATATTAACATGTAGTAAATAGATTTTTAAAATGTAGTTTATTTTTGTGATGGCAAAGCTGAATTTTCAGCAGCCATTTCTCCAGTCGTCAGTGTCACATGATACTTCTGAAATCATTCTAATATGCTGATTTGCTGGTCAAAAAATATCTTATAACAGTTGTGCTGCTTAATATTTTTCAATATTTTGATGCATAGACAGTACAGAATAACATCTTTCTGTCACTTTTGATGAATTTAATGAGTCCTTGCTGAATAAGTGTTAATTTCTTCCAAAAAGAAAATCTTACTGACCTCAAACTTTTTAAAAGGTAGTGTATAATCGTAATGTATATGTATGTGTATATACATCACTCAACCGAAACTCACTTGAACTTTCTCACAGAATTATCTAAGCTCGCTGGGTAAAGCTCGTACCGCTCAGGTGCAAAGAGATGCCCGTATCGGTGAAGCTCAGTTCAAGAGGGATGCCGTCATCAGGGTGAACATTTTTCTTATTTCTGTTATCATTGTTGGATGTGTGACGTTGGTGTCGAATAAAACTATGATAAAACTGTTCATGTGTGTGTTTGTGTATGTAGGAGGCTCACGCCATGCAGGAGAAGATCTCTGCTCAGTATAAGAATGAGATTGAGATGGCTAAAGCCCAGAGAGACTTTGAGCTGAAGAAAGCCGCCTATGACATGGAGGTCAACACCAAGAAGGCAGAGTCTGAAATGGCCTATCAGCTTCAGGTACCAAATGATCTTCAACTTGGTTTTCAGCTGGTAACATGAGGGTTGGAAGTTTACTGCAAACTGTTTGGCTGGTTAATGTTTCATGTAAAACTAGGCAAGTACAACAAAAACAACAATTAAGTCACATCTACTGACATTTTTACTCGCCATCATCTGCATCAGGTGGCCAAGACAAAGCAGCGCATCGAGGAGGAGAAGATGCAGGTTCAAGTCGTGGAGCGTACGCAGCAGATCACTCTACAGGAGCAGGAGATCACCCGCAGGGAGAAGGAACTGGAGGCCAAAGTCCAGAAACCAGCTGAGGCCGAGAGATACCGCATTGAGAAGCTCGCTGAGGCAGAAAAGTGAGAACTGAGGAACTAATGCAGCGCTACACAAACATTGGGGTCCAAATGTTTTGGTGTTTTGTCTAATTTAACACAAATTTGTGCTTCAGTGGAAGCAAATCTGAAGAATAGAACTCATAGCTTGGTATGATAATCTCGGGAGGGGGGGAAACAACATTTAGGCCTGGTTTCACAGACAGGGCTTAGACTAAGCCAGGATTAGGCCATAGTTCAATTAGGACATTTAAGTAATTTTTCATAAACTCGCCTTAGAAAACACATTACTGGTGAGCATCTTGAGACAAAACAAAGGCACTGATATATTTTAAGATCAGTCAGTGCAAGTTTCTTTCAGTTTACACAGCTCAGACTTACATTTTAGTCTGGGACTAGGCTTAAGCCTTGTCTGTGAAACCTTGTCTGTTAATGTTCTCTTATCTAACAGGCTTCAGTTGATCATGGAGGCAGAAGCTGAGGCAGAGGCCATCAGAGTGAGTTCATGAATCTTGTTTCTTGCCGGTGAAAATAAGCATTACTATTCTCATAAGACGCATACCCCGCACAACATTCATCTTTTTCTGTCTCTCTTTCAGATGAGGGGAGAGGCAGAGGCCTTTGCACTGGAGGCAAAGGGTCGGGCTGAAGCCGAGCAGATGGCCAAAAAGGCAGAAGCCTTTAAGCAGTACAAAGAGGGAGCCATGGTGGACATGCTGCTGGAGAAACTCCCACTGGTTAGTGCATCCGAAATTTTGAATGTCCATGAATAAGTTCAATGATAAGACCACTCAATAATGGCCTCCACTCCTCTAGATGGCAGAAGAGATCAGCAAGCCACTCTGTGCAGCCCAGAAGGTCACCATGGTGTCCAGCGGTGGGTCAGAAGTGGGCGCAGCTAAGCTGACAGGAGAAGTTCTGGAAATCATGACTCGCCTGCCGAGCGCAGTGGAGAAACTGACTGGAGTCAAAATCTCACAGGTGACCAGACTCACGTCAGCAATGAAATCACTTTAGTGCTGGTATCAGGCAGCAGATCACTTGAGCTGCAGCGTCTGCATTCACAGTGATAGTTGCTGTAATTATTTTTTGTTGCAGTTGTCATTGAAAATGGAACTAGGGAATACATACACCATTTTACTCAAAGTAAATATCAGTAGAAGTCTAGTTAAAAAATAATCAAGGCATATTTTCCATGCTGTTTCTTCACTAAAATAAATACAAGAAGGAATGATATTTAAGTTTTTTATATTTTAAATATTATTATATGCACCTGTATTGACAGTACATAATGACAAACAGCAATATTTTCCAGCATTTATTTGTTACTGAAACATTTTAATTAAAAACATTTAATTGAAATAGACAGTTTGAACTGATTGAGGAAAATGTATCGAACTTAACAACTCTAACAATGCTATTAAATATATTTTAAACTTGGCCAAATAAATAGCACAGTTAAATCCTTGTGATATTTAATGTTGCAAAATTGTTTTGTATTTAGCAAAATCTTTGTACATTTTCAATATTTTAAGTAGTTCTTATTGAAAATGACTTTGATTAAAAACCCGTGCCTGTGTGAATGCCCCTTAAGATTGCATACAGTAAAAATTGCTTTAAAACACACCTGCTTTCTACTCCAGCCACACTACATTTTGTTAACTTTTGTTTTGGCCAGGTTGTTTCAACCCGCATGGGCTAATGGAGTTCATGAGGAAGGAATGCGGTCTGATCAGCTCTGATCGTGGATCTCAGCTCTTCCTGTCTGTGCATGCCTGTGTTTGTACTGAACCTGGAACATTGAGCTCCTTTTTGTTTTTGTAATCCACCATTTGTAACATTCAGTTTTTATATTCTAGTTTGTAAATTGTTATTTTATCACATTATATGATCATTTTATAAGTTAGGTGTACTACATCATCTGCTCCAGAGCCACTGTTAACGGTGAATATTCAGGGAAGCAGGGCTGGTCTTCCTTTCATTTTTTTTTAATAGTTTCTGTATTTCTTGTCTGTCAGAGCCACACGCATGTTGATTCTGGTACAGTTTCTTTCAAAACCAAAGTGCATTCAAGTCAAATGCATGTAAATTCACCTGAAGTGCATTACTGAAGCCATAGTCCACGTGCATGATGCCTCACGTCTGCAGACACTGAAATGTGACGCTTTCTTGCAGTTTTAAGGTTTGTCATTCAATGGTCTGTGCAGGCCTTTTCCTTTAAACAGTGGCACAGTTTGCAGACATATTGAAAATTATTTGGAATATAATAAATTTGTTCTGTGTGCTCAGTAAAGTGATTTATACAGCAAGTTGAAAAGTAAGATGGGGTGGGAAGTGTGTGAAGAAAAGAAACCCTTTGATTTTTTTGAAGCTGGTGAACAAACAGGAAAAACGAAAAGGAAACTGGTTAGGTATTAAACGCAGGCTGTAAGTATGTCTCTCTGCCCACAGAAACTCCAGTGAAGGCTGATGGTGGTTTCATTTCTCATATCACTTGTGTGAAAAAAATTAAGTTAGTCTTTTTGTTTTGCAATGCTGCTGTGTACTTCACACTAAAATCGACTCAACATCACCAAAGGTAAACCTATGCATTTGCAGTTTATGCCTTCAGAGTGCCTCAAAGCTATTTTTACTTCCTCCCTGAATCAGCCTGCTCTGATTGTGTTTCAGCAACAGGAACTGTGATGTGTTCCTGGCCTTAATTTCGTTCAGAATATTCAATTTGTTTGCCATTCGTTTGTTTTTTATTGGTGTAAAGCCTCATTATCGTTTTTATATATGACATACTAATCCAATTTTTGCCTTACTGTGTGTTCAGTGGTGATGTACTGTAGATATATTCACCTTAAACTGACTATCTCTATATCCAGGCTGAGATTTATACATATTATGTACCGTTTATTGTAAACAATAAACTATTAGTGTGTAACTTGTCAATTTATGGCTTTGTCTGAATGCGCGTGTTTCCACAAATCTATAATGTTTCGCATTTAATGCTGTTTGAATATGAATGCTAATGTGAAATGACACTGCTCGAAATCAGCAAATTGTGTTCGAGCATAAGCAAAAATGAGGATATCTCTTTATTTGAAAAGGTTACTTTATTAAAACACCTACAAAAATAGACAACACCGGCAATGACTCTGACTAACACAAGCAGGGAGTCTAAAACAGAGACAGACCCGATTAATAACAGATAGCAATATTAATGAAGAAAATTATGTCCCATGAAGTATTTACATTTTTCATTATTTATGAAACATGAATAGCTGAGGACAGAACATGCCCAAAACTATATAAAAATACAATAAAGGTTAAGGGCCTCGGTGTACCAAAAAAAAAAAAGATTAAAGGCCATTCAATAAGCATAATCAGCATGGTAATATAACCATTTGGGAATCACATTCTTCTGTGTATATTACAGTATATATTTTGCTCTCCTCTCCACCCCCACCTACACACACAGTCTTACTCTTAAATGAGGAAGAGGTGGCGTCACCACACCAGGTTCAAGTTAAATCTACAGTCTGCAGTATGCAATTACGTACTGTAGCGTTAAGAGAGTTTCCTGCAAGTGTCCTATAGGTTTACACAGTAAATTCAGGACAAATGCTTTGCTTATTTTTCTATTCACCCAGTTTATTTCTCATTATATAGGCAATAACTTTGTCACTCTTATTGGTATACATACACATGACTGTGGCCATTCTGCTTGTTTTTACTCTCTTTCTCTCTCTAAATTCTTCCAGGCTCACGCATTTTGATTTCTGGCGAGTCCAGGCTCATATTGAAGTCAGGTGGTTTCTGATTGGCTGTCAATGTTTTTAATGTTGTTTATTTTATTGTTAAAAAAAATTATTCTGAAATTAATTCTAATGATATTGTTTTGTGTCATTATCATTGTAGTTGTGGTGTGGACATTGACAGCCAATCAGAATCCACCCAGCTTTACAGAGCTTGAGTATTTAAAATGGACGACAATATAACTGCAGCGAGTGCTTATAATAAAGAAAACATTGTCATCTATTGGTGTGGATGCTTTATTGTTATTGTTATGGTCATTGTTCTTGGTGTGAGCGGGCCTTTATAGTCAGTGAAGGAAGGAGCGACTCTAAATGTTGAGATAACTGAGGAAAGGCCCACTCAAACCAAGTACGATAGCTATACCAACACACGATAATGCTCGGTTTATTATAAGCACAGGCAGCAGTTTTGTCTTCTGCAGCTGCTTAAGCTCCTTAAAGCCAGATTCTGATTTTCTGTCAATGTCATCAGCTGGAAATGGGACGATTATTATAACGGAATTGTAGTTATTGTCCTTGGTGTGAACAGGCCTTAAGGGACCATTTATGTGCAGACATACAGGGGCGGAGTCACAAATATAATTTTCTGTTTTGGCTGAATTTGATAATATCATGTAACAAGCCCGTGTTTTACATATCAGCATTGATGTACATAATTATAGAACATTTTGAATACACCAAAAGCTCTTTTAAACGTGTTATTGACGTTTATCGACACTTTAAATGGTTCTCCAAGAGGTCAAAAAAACAAATTCATATCATTGAGATGAACATGTCTCACAGTGTTGAATGTTTAATGATCTGTGAGCATTTCCGAATGATGAATTACCCTCCACCACAGAAAAGACATGAAAAAGATTCTCTACATGAACACGAATGCTAGCAAATGTTATTCACTATTTTCACTTAATATGCAAGTAGAAAAAAATATTTCTGTATTTCTGCTATAGTATGTTTTAATACGCATAATCAATAATCTGTCAAATGTTTCCTGTAGAGAACTATGACTAACTGGACAGTTTGTAGAGCCGTGTGCTTTTGTGCTGCCTGTCATCTAGCTATGAAACCCTCCACCAGTTCATATGATTATGTTTCGAGACCTATTCAGACAGGTTAGAGGACCGGGATTTAAGGTTGAGATACCAAGCAACATTTTATCCTAAAATCAATCGCATATTATTCCTGATAGCCCATCGTCAGCGCTTAGTCATCATTACTGGACCTCACAGAACACAAAAGACTTCAGTTTTACAGCAGGAAACATTTACAGAGAGGTTTCATTCTCAGGTTCACAGAGAAAATATGAGGCAGAATAATGTTTCAGGAAAGAAAGGATGACTCGGCCAATTCTGTGGTGCATTCTGGGAGATCTGTGCTCTGTGAAACTAAATACTGTGGAATAGTGATGTGATTAGTATTGATAGTGGGGGGGACAGCGAGTCTAAAAATGATTTGGGGATAAAATGTTGCTTGAAGAGTTCAGGATAAGGAGTGAGAAGTGGGTCATTTAGGGGCACCGAACCTGCGGCTTTTATTCGCCCCAACCCACCGATCAAAAAATACACTAATTTACATAAGAGTGCTTAGCCGTGTCTGCTTAAAAACACACCACCAGTCTGTGGTCCACACATGCTTTCTTACATTCTTCCGCTTTTCATCTCTCTGTCACTTTCTAAACCATGTTCATGGCATCTTCGGTGAGGAAGGAGTGAATGTACGCAAAGGAAGGCCGTAGTTTACAGTCTCTGCTCCAGCAGCTAAGCATCAGCTCATACAAACCCTGTGGGCACACAGCCGGGCGAGACAGGTACACCTGATCGAGAGAGAGAGAGACTATGCTTATTTTTTTCTTATGAGGGTTAATAATGTTAGCAAGCACACACACCTGTCTGCCCTGGTCTCTGAAAAACTCCCCTGCGTTGTCAATGACCTGTTCATCGGTCATGTGACTGTATGGCTGCTCCTGACACACACTCAGCATCTCCCACAGCGTCACGCCAAACGCCCACACGTCACTCGCCGTAGTGAACTTGCCCTACACACACACAAAAATTGACCGACATTCAGGGAACCAGTATTATGCACATTATGAGCTAATACATTTGTATATGGATATGACACGTTGCTGATGTAACTTCATTATATACAGTGGGGTCCAAAAAAAAGAAGAAACATGATAAAATGATAAATATTTCAGATTTGTGATAGAAAAGTATTTTCGAACAATACCAAATTCTAAAATTAATGTTATTATTTTCAATTCAGTTGTAATACATATGTGACCCTGGACCACAAAACCAGTCATAAGGGTACATTTTTTATATACCATCTGGACAATATTTGGCCCGAGATACAACTATTTGAATATCTGGAATCTGAGGGTGCAAAAAAATCAAAATATTGAGAAAATCGCATTTAAAGTTGTCCAAATGAAGTTCTTAGCAGTGCATATTACTGATCAAAAATTAAGTTGTAATATATTTACAGTAGGAAATTTACCAAATATCTTCATGGAACATGATCTTTACTTAATATCCTAATGATTTTTGGCATAAAAGAAAAATCAATAATTTCAACCCATACAGTGTATTTTTGGCTATTGCTACAAATATACCCCAGCGACTTAAGACTGGTTTTGTGCTCCAGGGTCACATATTTTAGGTCAGAAATATAATTCTGATAAATATAAATTAAGTAATTAAATATATCTTAATTGTGGTAATGCAAATTGATTTATTTAAAAAATTGCAATTTTATTAAAAAATAAAAAAAGATGTGCAAAATGTTATAATGTCATATTTTTTATTGTAAGACAATAAATATTCAATCTGATCATAAATATTAATAAACAAATATAAATGAATGGATTAAATATATCTTCATTATGGTAATGCAGAAAAGATTAAACATGTTCTCTAGTGGTCCCGGACTTTTTGAACCCCATTATATATACTGTATTTTTATTTATTAATAAATAAAAAAGATATACAAAATGTTATAATATTATATTTCCTTTTTATAAGATAATACATAATAATAAATATTAATTAGTAAATATAGATTAATCACTAGTGGTCACAGACTTTTGGAAGATTGTATTTTTATTTATATACAAAATTTTAGATATAAGATTTCTTTATTAAAATATATCAAATGTCAAGTCTGATAATAAATATTATTTAATAAATATAAATTAATTAAACATATCATCATTATAGTAACACGGAGGAGATGACAATAAATAAAAAAAGTTGTGTCACTAATATTCCTGTATGTTTTCATTTATTTATTATAGAAAAAAGTTTGTGTTCTCACCATGAGGATGCACTCCCATGCCATCCAGCGAATAGGCAGCACAGCTCGTCCCTGTATCCTGTAGTAATCGCCAGCATAGAGGTTCCTGCTCATGCCAAAATCAGCTATCTTTATCTGACGCTCTCCGCCACGGTCCTCCCCCTCACCCCTCTCTCCACCCACCAGGCAGTTCCGCGTGGCCAGGTCTCGGTGCACAAAGTTCAGAGACGACAAGAACTTCA